TCCCGCTCCCGCTCCCGCTCCCGCTCCCGCTCCTCCTCCCCCTACCCCTACCCTTACCCCTCCCCCTCCCCAGAACGTGGCCGAGTCCATGCGGCCAGCGAGGCTCGCGGGCAGGCAGTCCTGTCCGGCACGGCCAAGGGCTCGCCCCGAGACGGCTCCGAGAGGCCACAGAGTTTGCCGAGGACGCCCGCGGGGGGCCAAAGAATCCTTCCAATAGCCTGCGGAAAACAGCGGATTCGTGTATTCCCGCACTTTTGCTTCCGATGGCCACCTGGCCCTCCCTGGAAAAGACCAGTCCACAGAAACGGCATCTCTCGGCAGGGCGCCACGTCTGGGGCCTAGGACCGCGCCGCGGGGGCCCACGCGGGGTGCTCAGACCTCCGATGTGATCATTTTTGTGTCGCAACGTCTAGCCCCAAGGACTAGACCGCTCGATGATCGTTAGAACGTGTCTTAGTGCAAACGTGTGTTTGCCCACGAGTTCCTCCAACAAGACGTAGACGGCACAACGAGGGCCGACACAAGCTGCGCGCGATCGGCGGAAGCCAACGGGGTAAGCACACGCTTGGGCTAACACATGTCCTGAGGATCCTCCAGGCATCGGCGCTCCATCCCGAGCCGCGTTGCGATGGCCTCGGGGGGCCGACGATGGGCAGCAACCTCCCGTCGTGATTGTTGCATCCACACCCAAAGAGGGGGGTGCATCGCCGATGGATTGGCGACAGGCCCGCGACAGCGAGTCCGCACGATTCTGTGCGGGGTGGGGACGTCGGGCCCCCGATCGAGGCTGTCGGGCCATAATCAACTCTGGCCTCAGCGGCCGTTCGGGGCGATCCATACACCCCCGCAACGCTCTCAGCGAGGCGCCGCTGCTGGAGAGCCTCCTGGGACTGGACAACCGCCAAGTCGGCTACACGCAAGAGTGACAGTAGGCAAGAGTGACCTCTGGTGCGCGGCTTGAGGGGGGCCACGCAAGCCCGCAAGCCAACGCTACTGCATCGTACTCAGCGATCTGGGGGCCCTGGTGGGCCCGCACCGAAGGTCACTCTGGCGAAGGGTCACTCTTACGTGTAGTCGACCGAGATCCGACGAAAATGGCGTGCGGGCCGCCTACTTGGGAGGCTGCCGAGGGAGGGGAGGAGGAAAACGAGGAGGAGGAGATGGAGGAGGAGGAAGAAGAGGAGGAGGAAATCTAGGAGGAGGAGGAGAAGGAGAAGGAGGCGGAGGCGGAGGAGAAAGAGGAGGTCTAGGCAAAGGAGGAGGTCGAGGAGAAGGAGGAGGAGGAGGAGGAGGCCGAGCAGGAGGAGGAGGCGGACGAGGAGGTCTAGGAGGAAGAGGAGAAGAAGGAGGGATGGAGGAGGAGGAGGAGGAGGAGGAGGAGGAGGAGGAGTCAGGCGGAAGAAAAAAGTCTGGGGCCGCGCTGGGGGGGGGGGCACGCAGGGTACCTCGGAGGCCTGGTCCGGCGCGAGGTCCAGGGC